TTATCATGCACATTGAAAACATCGAGGTACACGCTCCGCTAAATTGCTTCTGCAAGATGCACGCAATGGTGGTACCCATGTGCTTACCAAATGAGGATTGCAGCACCAAGTGGAGCGAACCAATCGTATATTAGATGTCAAAGACAGCTGGGATGGTGCCCTTGGTGCGTTGTTGTAAAACCACCTTCTGTCTCAATCCTACCTTTAAATGTGACTACTTTTAGATGTGACTTCCTTTAGATGTGACTTCCTTTAGATGTGACTTCCTTTAGATGTGACTTCCTTTAGACGTGACTTCCTTTAGACGTGACTTCCTTTAGACGTGACTTCCTTTAGATGTGACTACCTTTAGACGTGACTTCCTTTAGACGTGACTTCTTTTAGACGTGACTTCTTTTAGACGTGACTACCTTTAGACGTGACTACCTTTAGACGTGACTACCTTTAGACGTGACTACCTTTAGACGTGACTACCTTTAGACGTGACTACCTTTAGACGTGACTACCTTTAGACGTGACTTCCTTTAGACGTGACTTCCTTTAGACGTGACTTCCTTTAGACGTGACTTCCTTTAGACGTGACTTCCTTTAGATGTGACTTCCTTTAGATGTGACTTCTTTTAAATGTGGCAAATATAAAATTACTGTTAGCAATATTTTTTGCAAATCTATCATTGCGAAAGTTAAGACTTTTTTGTTTTGTTTCGTTTCCCAAATATATCTGCAAAAATCATCGCTCACCCAGCAGTAAATAGGCACTAGGGAGTGAGCTAACTGTTGTGGGTTGTAGTTGGTAAGTTTAAGTACAAGCTTGCAGACGAGGAGTCACAATAACGTGGCTAAAGTATGTTGACCAGACCACACACTAGAAAGTGAAAGGACGACGACGTTTCGGTCCGTCCTGGACCATTCTCAAGTCGACTGAGGAAATCGTCTTAAGAATGGTCCAGGACGGACCGAAACGTCGTGTGTGTGGTCTGGTTAACAAGTCCAAGTTTCTTGTCCCAAAGGAACATGGATAGAATACTATCTTCTGATACCCGGAAATGAATGCAATAGTTACAACCCGACGTAAATACGTTGTTGACGCGTCTTGAAACAATGCAGTGAGGCTGTGACGACGTCGTTGGGTGTGGGAAGGTTGTTGATGCGTCTTAGAACAACGCAGTGAGGCTGTGGCGACGTCGTGGGTGTGGGAAGGTTGTTGATGCGTCTTAGAACAACGCAGTGAGGCTGTGACGACGTCGTTGGGTGTGGGAAGGTTGTTGATGCGTCTTAGAACAACGCAGTGAGGCTGTGGCGACGTCGTGGGTGTGGGAGGGTTGTCGACGCACCTTAAAACAACGCAGTGAGGCTGTGACGACGTCGTTTTTGCGTCGTTGGGTGTGAGAGGGTTGCTGATGCGTCTTAGAACAACGCAGTGAGGCTGTGGCGACGTCGTTGGGTGTGGGAAGGTTGCTGATGCGTCTTAAAACAACGCAGTGAGGCCGTGACGACGTCGTGGGTGGGTGTAAGAGGTGAAATATGGAGGAGTTTGTGTGGTACACAGCGGCGCCATCTTCCTCCTCCCAGTTGCTTTAGGGGAGACCCGTCTAATACCACCCGCTGCCGGCTATGGGCTCAGCTAGCGCAGTTGGCTTCGTTTCGTTAACGCCTCCTGCACCTGCATTCTCCTGCTTTGTCTTCCCAACTGGTCAGATTTCAAGATAATGCCCCTATCCTCATTTTGAGTACAAAAGAGAACTCACAACTATCAATCAAACCCTTAAAACTTGTCCATTACAACAGAAGGAAGGGACTGAACACGTCCGGTTCGCGTCCCTCTGACGGCGCCAAGTACCACAGTTTGAACCCGTCCTATAACCCCCACTACATATGAATAATATTTGTATACTTCGTAATAATTCTTTAGAATCCTGTTAAACTGGCTACTTCAAAAGATTTGTTTGTAATTAAAGAAATCATCGGTTTGTTGAGGTGGACGGAAGGACCTGATCTCTCGCCATGGCGTTAAGTTCGTTCCGCCGGGTCTGGGGAGGGTCCCTGCCTTAGGTTAAGGCTTCGGTCTTGAGGAATCCCAGGTTAATGGACTGCGGAAGGGGGCCACACAACCCTCAAGACGCCAGTCGTGGCGTCTCCGTCGCCGGAGAGCACCTTTGGAGAGGCGGCAAACACGCCGACGTAATTCCCGCAGACTGGCGCCTCACACCCCGTCCCCCCACGCCCTCGTCCGCCCACCACTGCCGCCCACACTCACATTGCCAACTGTGCTGGGCGTCCTAGCCACCATATGGTTCAGCTAATTACGGAAATGATATGCGATGTGATACGAGATCCCCAAAATGCAGTGTGGGATCCATTAAAAGAACAGTGACCGCAGGAGTAATACACTTGCGTCTCATTATATGGAACTTGAGCACTGAAGAGCAGTATATATGGACCTTCTCTTGGGATAAGGGTCAATATAGGTCATAACAAGATCACTACGTAGCGAATCGGGGTATGCTAGAATTAATTAGAAGTGTGTAGACTCAACTATGTGGTTACTTGGGCCCCAATGACATAAATTATGCTCAAGTGTTCCCCAAAGCCAGCCTGTTAAGTATTATGGTCTTCAAACAATTAGCCATACCGGAGTGCGTAGTGAAATTTGAGGGTAAACGCTGAGAAGAGCAGCTGTTCCCCTGGTGTTATCTCGAATGCAATGATTTGAAAATGCAGACCACATGTTATCTTCTTTTGTTGGTGGTATATCAACCTACAGATCATTGACTGTTACAAATTATCGGTTTCAGCATCTAGATTTTATGCAAGCAGCCTTCGATACGGGAGATTTTAATGTCCATGGAACATGTATACAAGATGAACCACATTCGAGGCCGCGTATGGCGACCCAGCGAGCAGGGCTCCAACTGGTATTCAGTTGCCCGAGGCAGCAGGGATGCGACATGGCCCCACTCCAAGATCCCTCCTCTGACTCCGACTTTCAACCTATTTATGGCGCTTAATTGAATTGCATTGCAAACTTGATCAATCTGCCAGGCTGTGTGCCGGTGACGGGAGCCGACGGGAGCCGCTTTGTGTGGAGGCTGAGGTCCACGTGACAGCCATATGCCTGCCGGCGGCCTTGTATAAACGTCCCTCTCGTAGCGTCTCCGTATTCCGTTCCTGTTTTGTTTATAAGCGCCTTGCAAGGTGCTGAGACAAACACCTTGCGGTCAGATACATTCGTGGACATCGCAAGACGTCGAAGGGTAGAGTAGCAATCGTCCGGACTCGCTCAGACTTGCGCGCTGTCGGCAACTTCTGACCAAAAGTCGGGGATGTCCCCCCATGACGTCCCCTTGTCTAGAACGTCACCGAGATGCTCATCCGATGCGCCTCAGGTGACATCGTGAACCCTGCCGCTGGGGCCCATGGCGTCACCGCCCTTCCATCGATCTACACCAGATGTCACCAGCACCGCCTTCCTCCTCCTGTGCCCTCCCACCGTCGCCAGAATGCACAGGAGCACATCTTCGTGTGAGTCGACGTTGGCTCAGGCCGGCTACTCCGCTGTCTCCCCCCTCCACCCGCCCCGTACGTGGATACACGCGCAAGATACGGACACCCACGTACCACCCAGGCTCTATCATCCGTCCGTGGTTTTGCGACAAGGAGGAAGTCCCTCTTGAAGTCCCATACAAGGAGCACCGACACAGACAATCCATGTATGGAGCCCCCTAGACTGGAACATCTCACTCGT